GACAGAGTGGGAACGGTAGTTAATGTTCTTGATCAAAGCTTTTTTCACTATTACAAACACTCGTAATACCGCTAAAACTTGCATCGTTGTTGACAGAGTGGGAACGGTAGTTAATGTTCTTGATCAAAGCTTTTTTCACTATTACAAACACTCGTAATACCGCTAAAACTTGCATCGTTGTTGACAGAGTGGGAACGGTAGTTAATGTTCTTGATCAAAGCTTTTTTCACTATTACAAACACTCGTAATGCCGCTAAAACTTGCATCGTTGTTGACAGAGTGGGAACGGTAGTTAATGTTCTTGATCAAAGCTTTTTTCACTATTACAAACACTCGTAATGCCGCTAAAACAAACATGATAAATTAGGGACGATAGTTAATGTTCTTGACCAAAGTATTCTGTGTGATTACAAACCCTTGTGACCTCACCAAAACTTCATGTTAGATTCTTGATTAAAACATTCTGTAACTATTACAAACCGTAGTATTTCACTGTAGTTCAAATCTTAGGTGATAAAGTAGGGCAGGTAGTTAATGTTCTTGATTAAAACGTCATATAACATTACAAGCCTCAGTAACTTCTCTAAATTTCCAATCATAAGTGATGCGGTGGTTAAGTTTCTTTATTAAGGCATTCCGTACTACTACTAAATCTCAGTCTTATGTAATAAAGTAAGGACGATGGGAAATGTTCTTTACTAAAGCGTTCTGTAACATTAGAATCTATAACACATAATGACCGATGAATGGTTATTCAATTACACATATTAATGATATTACTAAAGCGTTCTGTAACATTAGAATCTATAACACATAATGACCGATGAATGGTTATTCAATTACACATATTAATGATATTACTAAAGCGTTCTGTAACATTAGAATCTATAACACATAATGACCGATGAATGGTTATTCAATTACACATATTAATGATATTACTAAAGCGTTCTGTAACATTAGAATCTATAACATATAAAGACCGATGAATGGTTATTCAATTACACATATTAATGATATTTGTTTTTAGTTTTAGATGTTTATTATGTAACAGAAGTACGTTTTTGTTCAACATCAGACAAAAAAATACTCATTTGTGTAGTTGAGGAAATAGAAGATTTTATTGCCCAACAAAGTGTGGTTATATACTTAGTCAACTCCAAAACATACAGTAAATATCATAGCATGCAATGTGAACTCTCCAACGGAAAATCTTTAATGACATCCATTGATCAAATGCTCACGAATCCTGTGAAAAGGCAAATGGTTTTAACTTGTATAACATCAGTATTGTCATGAATCAATATATGTGTGAAAGAAAAGTACAGTCTACCAGGTGAGCACCTTTTTAAGTAATATTTAAAACGTAGAAATAACAAATTCATTGCCAGATGTATTACCTTTAATACCAAAAACAACTGAGAAATACTAAGAAGAGTCTTAGTGAGGTATCACCTAGTCCTGATTTACAGTGTACATACCTACCACAAATTCACACTCAGTCCTGAGAATACAGAAATGAAATTGAAAACTTCAGTTTGATACAAATCTGGGAGTACTTACAATGTTTCTGAAGAAGCATTTTACGATAGAATCTACTTCCATGCGAACAGGAAACCATACTGTTCTTTACAGCACAAACAAAGTTTTGGAATATGAACATTAATGTTCCAGTTAGCACACCGAAAAAACATATTTTTTGTTTTCAACTCTTCAACAACACTTTCAACTAAAAGAAATTTTCATTTTAAACGTAGCTTTCGCAGCTCAAGTAAGTTTTACGTAAAATTCTATAAGAAAACCACTGATTATAGAAAATAAGTTTAAAAATGAGATTATTACAATGAGTTCATCTACGAGAGAGAGAGAGAGGTAAATAAATATTTGCTGTGAAAGCTGTTTTAAGGAGAAGTTATCAATCGTGGCTAAATAGTTGAAATCCATGTTCTGGGGTGAAGTTCTTTTCAGACAGGTAAGAAATATTAACGAAATTTGTGCTAATGAAGTTTACAATTTCAGACGAATTAGGCATACAACCACCCAAACACTCACAAAAATAATGTATAAGTTAAATAATAATTACTTAATTCTATAATAAAGAAACTTATACAAAATTTCAAATAACTCTTCTAAGTTCAGAAATCAATACTTCTAAAGTAATGAAATAAGTAAAACCTTGAAACAACTTTGAAAAGCCAAACAAAAAACGACGATTAGGAATTACAACTGTTAAGCCTTCACAGTCAGTTGGCGGACTTTATATTCAGCTCAGCTGAATTGAGCTTGATTGTATAAGCTATGTGGTGATATCCTTGTTCCAGATTGAGTGAAGCTTCCTTTTCAGTGTCGTTAGGCGTTTTCAGTGTTTTTGCTGGACCTGAACTTCAGATTTCGTCGAGGGAATCTACAGTAAATACAACAATGTATGAGAAACATATGATCAAACATAGAACGTTGGACACCGAGCTTAAACCAGTAGACAGGTGTTGCTCATAACTTTTGTTGTGATATTGCAGTATAACTAATTACTAGACGTGTGGTTTCTTTGTTTTCATGAACAGAGATAATTGCCTGACGTCACTTCCGTCGCGAACATGGCGTTCTGCAAAGTGGCCGGTAAACAACAACCTGATGGTTGGCTTATAGTAAAACGTAAAAGTAACTAAGTTAAATCTGAATGTAAATTAATAACTTAAATTTAAAAAGCAATCTAAAATTATATTTCTTAAAGAAACATAACAGAGTGTTATGAATTATCACGTGCTGTAGTAGATTGGTTTACAGCGGTGTGATTTGTCCACATATCGTTGCATCTGTGATGAAACGCCGATAACAAGTTCTTTAACATAGGTAAGCTAAATACCTTTGTTAGAAATGAACGTGGGTTACTTCTAACATTATAGAAATAACACGTTGTTTGTAAGTGCTAATTACCCATTTTTGTACGAGGAAAAGAAGAAAGTATTTTTCCAACGTTCCGTGTGGCTGATAAATGAGTTTAATATTCATTTGTTTGAAAAATATACCTGTTTTCAAAAGCATGTTTTTTATAACAATATATATTCAAACAATAAAGGTTTAATTTGTTATAGGCAGCTTCCTTATAAGTTATATGTTGGTAACGTGTCATTCCACGTCTTCAAGCTACTTCGAGTAATGATAAAAAAAACAACGTTGGACAGAAGTATTTAATTTTAGGTACATAAATCGTTCTTCGAAACCACATACTGAGTGTTCTTGCACACTCGACAATGTTCTGTATAATATAGATAGTAATAACCTTTAGAGCTGGTGTATTCATACTTCACAAGATACAGTATTTTTGCACAATTGAAAACTGTATACTAAAACCAATAATAACTTCTACAGCACATGTACCTCTGGGAAAATAGTGTTCTTATACAATTGAAAAAAGAAAAAAACAGTAATGATCTCTATAACACATGTATTTAACATTACAGGCAAAAGTGTTCTTGCACAATTGATAATGTTCTGCATAATAAAGGCAGTAAGAACATCTACACTACATGTATTCATACCGCTGAGGAAACAGTGTTTTTGTACACTTGATAAAGTTCTGTATAAGAAAGACAGTAGCAGTCTTTAGGGCAGATTTATGCATTCCTCACAGAAAATTGTGTTTTTATATTTGATATTTTTCTACATAACAGACATAGTAATAACCTCTAGAAAATATGTATTCTTACCTCACAAGAAACACATTTGATAATGATTGGTATTAGAAAGATAGTAATAACCTATACAGCAGATGTATTCATAACTCATTGGTAACAGTTATTTTCCACACTTGATAAGGTTCTATAAGTAAAAGAGTAGTGATATATAAAGCACATGTACTCACAATAGATAGAAAGCAGGGTTCTTGCACAACTGACAGTATATATAAAAAGAGAGTAATAACCTCTATACAGATGTATCCATACCTCACTGAAAACATTATTATTGCGGACTTTACAACGATAACGTCTGTTGCACATTTATTTATACATATCACGAAACAGTGATCTTGAGTACTTAACTGTGTTCTGTATAACAAAGCAAAATTTTCATAGTTAACAGAAAGAAGTGTTCTTATACACTTCATAATGTTTGTATAAGAAAAGTACATTTACTCTTACCTCACAGGTCATAGTGTTCTGTATTATAAAGACAGTGATAACCTCTAGAATAAGATGTATTCATACCTCTGAGAAAACAGTGTTCTTGATAACGTTCTGTATAACTTCCAAACAGGTGTATTCACACCTCTCAGGAAACCGTGTTTTTCACACTTGATTATGTGCCGTATAAGAAAGGCAGTAGTAAGCTTTATGACACATGTATCCATACTTCACAGGAAGTAGTGTTCTTGTACACCTGGTAATATACTGTATACCATAGACAGTAAGAACCTCTAGAGCAGATGTATTCATAGTCTCCAGGAAGCAATGATGTTGCACACTAATAAAATATATCGGACAAGAAACAGTGTTCTTGCATACTTGTTAATGTTCTGTATAAGAAACACAACAATGATCACTAGAATACATGTATTCGTACGTCATAGAAACAGGCTTCTTGCGCAACTGATAAAGTTCTATATTAATAAATAGAATAATAACTTCTAGAGCACACGTATTCGTACCTCACATGAAACGGTGTTCTCTTCACACGTATAATGTTCTGTATATGAAAGGTAGTTGTAACATTTACAACACTTATATTCATACCTCACAGGAAACGGTGTTCTCTTCACACGTATAATGTTCTGTATACGAAAGGTAGTTGTAACATTTACAACACTTATATTCGTACCTCACATGAAACAGTTTCTGCATAGTTGAAAATATAATAATTATAATAGAGACAGCACACGTATTCGTACTTCATCGAAAACAGTGTTCTAGCACACTTGATAATTTTACGTATAATAAAAACAGTAATATTCTCTAGACAGCGTTTCCCAAACTTTTACAGACCGAGGGAACAGGTTTTTTCATTCTCATTTTTTGCGAACCACCTTGTATACATAGGTACAATTATGTACATACAAAGTACACACGGTAAATTACGATTTTGCTGAATTAAATATGTATATTTATGATACCATGAAAATCATGGAAGAAATTGTATTTCACTGATTATTCAATCTTACAACATTAGGAATTAGAAATTAAATTTCACTGTCTATTCAAGTTTACGAGCCTCCCAGTGGCACAGCGGTATGTCTGCGGACTTACAACGCTAGAATCCGGGTTTCGATACCCGTGGTGGGCAGAGCACAGATAGCCCATTGTGTAGCTTTGTGCTTAATTACAAACAAACAAGTTTACAACATTAGGAATCAGGAAAAAGACAACTTGCTAAAGTAAAGGATGATGTTGTTTGTTATTACATAACGTCAGGAGGAAAGGAAGTTAATTTAACCCTCAAATCTGGTTCGACATTCAATCTATTTTTATACTTGTTATTAAGAAAACTAAAGAAAAGAAGCTAGTTTCACACTTATATGTGGTAACGAAAGGCATTAGGAATCTGACCGTTTTTTTCAGATAACTCTGCATATTCATTTGAACAACTCAGCCAAAAATTAATCAATGAGAGCTTATCAAAATTCTATTTCAAGACGGTGTCACAGCAAAGTTCAATTAATGAATCCACTTTCTGAGGACCGGCATTTTTTTTCAAAGGACCGGTACCGGGCGCCGACCACACTTTAGGAAACGTTGCTCTAGAGCAGATATTTTAATACTTTACAGGAGACAGTGTTTTTATACATTTGATAATGTTCTATATAACATAGACAGTAGTATCTTCTAGTATATTTTATAATGTTTCGTATAGAAAAAAAGACTAATAACTTCTAGAATACACGTATTCACACTACAGAGAAAACAGTGTTCTTGTATGCAGGGCCAGATTAAGGAATGTGGAGGCTCTGAGGCAAATATCCTTATCGACGCCCTTTCAAATATAAGAAATAAAAAAAAAATTATTGTATTAAAAACAAACTTTCAAATATAAGAAATAAATATATATATCGAATATTAATAAATAATGTTAACATTATGCTCTCTTTTATGGGGGCCCTGAGGCAATTGGTTAATCCGGCACTGCTTGTATGTTTGTAATTATTCTGTTTAAGAACGATAGTAATAGCCTCTAGAGCACGTGTATTTATATCTTGCAGGAAACAGCTTTTCTCACTTGATAATGTTTTGTTTAAGAAAGACAGTAATAACATTTCCAGCAAATGCATTCATACTTCACAGGAAACAATTTCGGCCCATATTTTACATCTCGTATGATAGCTACTTTAGCTATGTCTGATGATAGTAAAACTAATAACTATTGTGAAATTTAATAACATTTACACCTAAGAATATGTATTTCATAATGATACGGTAGCTGCTATAATCGTTTCACTGGCGATATTAAGGCTAATAGCTTTTGTTGTAGTTATATATAACTCGCAAACATAAAAACTTATTTCATGATATTTTACGTTTTCATTCGGTACTAAAGCTACCATAACAATATTTGTGAAATACAGCATATTAACCCAGAAACGTGTTTTGTGAAACTGTGTGTTTGATTGGTATAGTATTCTAGTAAGTAGTTAATGGTGCATACTTAGAATAAATAACACTAATTTATATTAACACAATATACATCATTCATTAATTTCCGACCACAACGTCATGGATTATAATCTTTCAAACGCTAAATGTATCAACTGTTTCATTATTGACTTCAATATAATTACTTATCGATCATTAAAATCAAACAGACCAAAACAGCAGATTATAAATTCCAGAAAGATTTTTCACATGCAATATTTTCAGATTAGATTTCAATATTAACTCATAATTAATACATATTCCACTAAATGAAACTTCCAACACATGCATAGCCCAGCAAAGGGTCGTCCAAACACATGCATATCCCAGCAAAGGGTCGTCCAAACACATGCACAGTCTGATGTTTTGTCCTCAGAAGTTGTTATTGGTAATATTCACCAGTGCTGTTCTGGATCATACGTAGGGTAGATATGGATTTGGTGACTAATACAAAATAAGGAATCCAAGTTAATTTTCTAAAACGGCACTAAACTTTTCAGTTTGTAAGTTGTATAGCTAATGGTAAGTTTTCTTTACATCATGATATAATGTCAATTTCAAATTTTATATACCGTAAAAAACAATATAATTGTACAGCAGCTATCAACTACTACAAGAGTTCGACGAAAGAACATATGTCTCAAACCTCATCTCAACAATTAATATCTGAGAACAAGAGAAAGTTATCAAGCTTCTGAATTATTGAGTCATTAAAACCAGTGTACCCAAGCTCTAGGGTGTAATATATTTATTGTTAAATGTACTTCGTAGATTCCTTGTAAACAACACCAAAACTACACTATATATGGTAGTTTTACTGTACAGTACAAACTACACTATATATATGGTAGTTTTACTGTACAGTACAAACTACACTATATATATGGTAGTTTTACTGTACTGTACAAAACTACACTAT